TGTCAGTCCACCCAGCACTGGCAGGGGAAGTCACCTGCTGAGTGGCAGTCTAGCTTGTGGGTTTGTGGTTTGGACAAAATCTGGACTCTAGAGAATTTTTAGTGCTTTTTAAACAAAAACAATGAACTTTAATAAAAGAAAACATTTCCATTGAGCTTTTAAACACTTAATAGGAGCTGAAAGTAATTAGGCTAATAAAATAGTCTCTTTTGTTCCAGTTCAGTAAGTGCTTTCTTTTATTAATTTCATTGTCCTTCAAGATTTAGATTAAGGTTTGTCTGCATTTGGAAAAGGTCACATTCACCTAAAATCTGATGGGCAGCTATAGAAGGTGGCCACTTGCATTGTAAAGCCCAGCAAGAGACCAGGCTCTGTGTAACTATGTTTCAACTCTGGCTTTGCTGTATCTGGCTGTCACTGTGGGCGCATTTGTCATACGCTAAAGCTCAGGTTCTTCACTTATAAGGGGTCACACTGAGGATTGAGAGAACTGAGGCGCATATGTAAAATATCTGGTATAGCATGTGGTACAAGGAGGGCAGGGCCAGTTGATGAGGGCCCCTCCCTTCCCTTTACTTCAGAGACCACCTGTCCAAATAACATTCACTTTTATTTTACTTTATTTTATTTTATTTTTGTATTGTTGCTTCTGGGGATTGAAATAGGGCTTCATGCATGCTAGACAAGAGCTCTACAGCTGAGCTCAGGCCAGCTCTGCTGTTGCTTCTGGGAGTCTCTGCACAGAGACAGGACCCAAAACCCCAACCAGAGGAAGTACACGTTAGTCACTTCCGGTGACCACCTGTCTGTACTGGAGTTCATCTAAAGTGGATGCTGATGTAAAGAAAAAAACAAATAAGGCTCAATTTCAAATGACTGGAAAGAAGAGGGGTTAGAGGTCTCTGAAGATGCTGGAGCCTGGATATTGCCATGGGAAGGTTGTTTTGTCCTCATCATTGCAGTCTTTTGTGTGGAGGGCCTCAGGCTCTGGCGACAGACATACCTGCGTTCAAGTTCTGCCTCCGCTACTTAACAAGCATGGAATTTTGGATGGGCACTTGACCCATTTCAAGCCTCAATTTCCTCTTCTGTAAAACTGGCACATGTTTGGCAGCCCTGGAAGAGTTCTTTAGGATACAAGGGGGCATTCAACCAAGGGTGGGCCTGTAATCTGGACTTGTTCCCTTCCCAAAACATCAGTCAAGGGCCAGCCAAGCCTCCTCAGTGCTGTGGGTGCACTAGCTTTGGCTCCTTCGGCTGGTTGTATTTAAATGAAACTGCCTGCAAACTCCTGCTGTGGTTTGGTCACCCCGCCCCGGCGGGGGGTCATGCGCCTCGACTAGTCAGACATAGTTCACTCTGCTTCTCTCTGCATCAGCCGAGGAGCAGGGCTCTGTTCTCCTCTCTCCCTGCCTCTCTCGTCTACCATTCTTTCCCTCTGCTCACCTCCTCTTCCTTTCTGCTCCCTTCCTTTCCTCTCCCTCATCCCCCCGTGCCCCGTTCTCTTCCTCCTCTCCTCTCATCTTCCCTCTGCTCTCCCTTCCTCGCCCTTCTACTCTTCCTCTCCCTTCCTCGCCCTTCTCTTCTTCCTCCTATTCTTCTTCCTTTTCCATCCTTCCTCTGTTCCCCATCTCCATCACTCCGTCTTTTTCTCTTCCCATCACCTCCTTCTCTGTCTTGCTCCCTTCTTTAACCTCTCCCTCATCCTCCCCTTGTCTCCTGTCTTTCTCTCCTTATCCCTGACAAGTCAACATCTCCTGACCTCAGAACCGGCTGTGACATCCCGACTGCTCCGACTCCAGCCCAACCTGGGCCTCCTTCTGCCTAGATAGTGGGGGCTGACAGGTTCCTGATAGGTAACCTGTGCCATCGGAAGGTGCTCATGGGGGTGGGGACCAGGGCCTCGGCGGTCACTTCTGTGTCACCTCAGAGGCAGTAGGCCTAACCACCCCGTAATTTGCCCTACAGCACCCTCCTCTCCCCCAGCCTGGAGATCTTCAAGTTTGGAAATGCCCATAGTAAGGGATCCCAGTGTTAAAGCTTTTAGAGGGCACAGAGTTTAATAAAGGGAATATATATGATTGGAAAGGAGTGTGGTGTGTGCGTGCGTGTGTGTGTGTGTGTGTGTGTGTGAGTGTGACTGACTGTTGTGTAACTCTATGCTACAGCACCCTCCTCTCCCCCAGCCTGGAGATCTTCAAGTTTGGAAATGCCCATAGTAAGGGATCCCAGTGTTAAAGCTTTTAGAGGGCACAGAGTTTAATAAAGGGAATATATATGATTGGAAAGGAGTGTGGTGTGTGCGTGCGTGTGTGTGTGTGTGTGTGTGTGTGTGTGTGAGTGTGACTGACTGTTGTGTCAAACTCTATGCCTGGACCGTATTCAACACTCAATAATAACTTTGAAGCAGGTTCTTATAGCCCTCATTTTACAGATGGGGAAAAGAGGGCTCAGAGAGGGGAAGTAACTTCCAGATAACCAAGCAGCTGGACGGTGGTGGGGTCTGTGTTTGAGCCAAGGGGCGACGCCAAAGTCCATGCCTGAACTACTTTGTGATGCTGCCTTATCATGAGCTGAGAATTTCTTTAAATTTCAAGAATAGACCCCTTCCGGGCCAGGGGTTTAGCTCGGTGGCACTGTGCCTGCCTCACAAGTGCAAGGTTCTGAGTTTGATTCGTTGTACAAAAAAAGAAAAAAAGAATAGACCTTGGTTTATAACTAATCCCAGTCCATCTCCTGACACCCCCTTGAGGCTGCAGTTCTGAGGTTCTTAGTTCTCAGTACGATCCCCAGTGGGTATCAAAGGTAATCTCTTCCACCATGCTTCAGGGAGGCCTTCTACACTGGGGCAAAGCAGTCCTGCCATGTTTGGCTTTAAAATAGGAGGAGGAGTTCCCTGGTGACTTGAGTGTACTATCCACAGTGAACGAAGGAAAGTATGGGAAGTCCTGGCTCAAAACTCCTGCCCTGGTTTTGAAATGGGGCCTCAAATTGTACTTCTTCAAATATCTTCTTTGAAAAAGAATTGTCACTAGAATAAATTCAGCCAGGGCAGGCCTTTCATACCATATGCAAATTGTTTCATTCAGTCACTTTTCATTTGTAGGAAAAATAAACTGAGAATGTCCCATTTGGAAAATATGAGCTTTATATATTATTTGTTACCTGCCACTGAAAAGTGTAAGTGTAGTGCTCCTAAAAACCGCATGGAGCAAAACTTTGCTGAGTGAAAGGGGGTTTCCATGGTTTAAGAAAGGCTTCGCTACTGTAGGACTTGTCAGTCTGAAAATGCTAGTTCTTACTTTGAATTTCTAGGAAGGGGATATAGTTCCCCACATTCTGATTTATTTGACCATGAACCTTTTCACAGAACCTTGGGGGAAGTATTCCCTCGCATATATTTTTCAGAATCCAGGATAAAAAGTCCTTTATAAATACTCAGCTCTTAAATGTACAGAACACTTTATACCTCGTCCCCAGTGAGCTTCAGACACTGTCTCATACAGTAGGGCTTTCTTGAGGGAAAAGGAGAGGGCTAATTTGAGGCTGCAGAGGACGAGGACAAAGCTGGGGGAGCATCCATGGGACAGTGTTAGGGTTTATTTGTCGATGTCCCCCAAAGCCTCATGTACTCATAGGTGGGGCTTCTGGGAGGTGACTGGATCACTGGGGTGTGTTACTCATCACTGGATTAGTCATTGATGGGTTTATACCTAAATATCACTTGGGAGGTGATGTCTGATTGGAAGAGGTGGGTGACTGAAAGAGGTGGGGCACAGACTGGAAGGGCAAACCTTCCCACATTGCTTGAGCTCTGCTTCCTGCCATGCTAGAATCTGTTTTTCCTTTGCCATGCCTCTTGGCTGTGCTTCCTGCCTTGGAACCAGCCAGCTATGCACTGAAACTGCTATGAACTGTGAGCAACATAAAACTCTCCTTCCCTAAGTTGTGAGTGTCAGGTACTTTGTCTCATTGATGAATGAAGTAACTAAGACTAGGAACATGATCTTACTCCGGACCCTCACTCTGTCTCCCATGTGTCCAGGAGACAGGGCCTGCACCTCCTCGGGAGGTTCACCTACCTCCTCAGCACCTCTCACTGACTTGACTGAAAGGGCTCCCACGGAAGCCCCATGGAATCCCCAGCCAGTACGAGGCTCAGCAGTCACTTTCCTGCTTCCTTGACACAGGAGTGTGGTGTGACTGTTGCCTGGTCCGAGGGCTTGAGCTAAGGCAGGCCTTGGGCCACATGATAGGATTTTCACCATCATATTCATGCCCCGATCCCAGGATGCCTAGATTAGTGGTAAGTTTTGATCATTTAAGTTGTATCAAAGTGTGCGTGCTGCCTCTCCTAGGGTAAATCTGCTTTTCAAAGGAACTGCTGTCGAATGGGATTCCTGGCTCTCTGCAGACTGAGATGGCTTGGACCCAAGGACATCATGGGCCCAGCTAAAAAGTGAAGCTTCAGAACTTGAATTGAGGCTCCTGGTATAGCATCTTGCACAGGGCAGTGGTTGAGAAGACACACTTTGGCTGAAAGGACATGTGCTCAGTGCAATGCTCTAGCATAGGGCTGAGGGACAGAGGGCTCAGAGAGCTGGACTTCTGCAGATAGCTATGTTTGGTCTGCTCAGGACAAGGTACAAAGTGGAGGGCATACATATCTTTAATAATGTTGGAGAACTAATGTGCTATACAAAGGAATGTCTTCCAAATGGAGGATGTTCAAGAATCAGTGGCCAGAGAATGTTTCTAGGTAAAACTGTCCACTGCTACCCTACCACAAACTAATGAAAAAGGAACAAAGTAAAACCGATCAACAAACAACAAAGCTATGCAAAAAAAAAAAAAACAAAACAATAACCTCTATGTAGGCAATTACTTCCTCTAGCCATGGGTCAAATCTGACAGCTCTAGAGATAAAGGGAGCTAGATATAAAGGATTTCAACGCATGGGAGTGATTTTGTTTTTCCCTTTAATGCCAGGTTTCAAAGAGGGAAGACTGTACCTGTCACTATTTTACACTCATTCAGTTTAAAACACATCCAGGCACTTTAACAGTGTTCTGTCAGGAGTGGGAGGGTTTCCATGTTGATTCTGGTGGATGGCACAGAACTCTGCATGCTCTGCTGGCCTCCGTTGCTGCCATCACTTCTTTTTGAACACTTGACGGCACACCTGGTCACCACAGGTCAGCTCCTGCAACGTCAGAAAGTGATTGCGTGGCTAACGAGCCTGGCCTGCCTCCTGCCCAGCTCCCAGCCCTCTTGGTGTCTAGGCTTGGGGCTGGGGTTGGAATAAATGGAATACTTAGTCACTTGGGGGAAAGTGGATTTCACAGACCCAAGCAGTAGGTGTACCCTGCAGGAAGTGGTAATTTGATTTTGATACTTGAATTGAGCTTGAACAACTATAAAAGTGAAAAAAGCAAAGAAATGACCCTCTTGGGTGGGATTTTTCCTACTCCCATGATTTTAGCAATGGTTGCCTAATTTATAAAAGGCAGCAAAGTCATGAGGAAGAGAAGGACCTAACATGGAGTAGTGTAGGAAGATAAGGGCCTAGAAAGAACTTTGCTGGGGAGCTGTCCTCCACGTGTGGGCTTTCTGGGCTCTGGTGATTACAACAGCGCTGGCAATGGCACAGGCAATGACAGGGTGTGAGCTGCAGAAGGGCTCCCCAGATTGCCTGTGCAGCTGATGGGGTCTGGCTTTTCATCCAGACAGAAAGCACCCCAGGCCTTATTGCACCTCACTGATACTTGAAGAAGAGAAAGCAAGCGTGGGGAAGACTACCACACTCCCAGCAGGTGACGATGAATCCATTGTCTTAGCTGTGAATACCACTGGGGATGGCACTACAATTAAAAAAATCCATCATCCAGACCAGAGCAAGTCGGGAAAACGATCAGTACAAAATACAGCGAATGCCTTCTATATATCATCAGCTGACATTGCCTCTGAAATGGAGATATCAGGTGAACCCAGGTTGGCTTTGAAGGGCAACAAAGTGCCCTGAATTCCAACATTAGAGCCTGCTACCCCACCTGACTCCATAGCTGAAAGGATGAATGAATGAAGGAAGGGAGACCTATTCATTGGATGAACCATTTATTTAACAAATGAATGGCTGAATTCAGGAAGGACTGAAAAAATGTTCACTATTAGAATGCTGGGCCTGTGAATTGCCTTGAGGATTTGAAGAATGAAAAATTAAGCTGTCTAGACACAGGTACAATTATTTAAGGATATTACCTATGGCTCCTACTATCCTGTTCTAATACCAAATTAACCTCAAATATTTTGGGGTCAAATAGACAGACCTCGTAATGATCGGCCAATGTCCCCAGGCCCAACTGCCCACCCCTGCAGCCCTCCCACCCCTCCCTACCAGGCTCATAATTGGACGGAAAGCCTGGTCCTACCTTCCTCTAGGGCATCATAATTCTGTGACTCACGTTTCTCCCCAGCTGATCTTTAACAGGTTCCCTGCATTTCTCCTTGGTTCTTGGCTTCCTAGCTCAGCATTTTAAACTTTCTTTTTAATTGCAGCTATTCACAGAAACAACCATATAGATTTCTTCCTGGAGTCCCCTGAGCCAGATGGGAATGGCTTTCTGACTATACGACCACATGCATTTGGCTGGAGCTCAGAAAAGGAGGTGTGCACAGCCATATTTCTTGTCACAGCACAGGAATGCGTGTAAGCACAGCGGAAGGAGCTGTGCAGGCCCAAGACTTACCAAGTACAGCTTGTTGCCCTCAACCCACTGCCTCCAGCCACGGTTCTCCTTCTCTCCCTTCTGCACACACACGAGGACATCACCTTCCCAGGTGACCAGCGTCTGCAATGACAGGTTCCCAGGTAAATGAGACTTCCGGCTGGAAAGACTCCACAAGTCTCAACCTGTGACTGCAATCCTTGAGGCCGTTGCCTGGCTCATGCTTCCCCCAGAGGAGAGCCCTGGTCTCCATGACCCAAGATTCTTTCAATCTCATTTTCACTAGGCCAAGAGCTTTCCAATCTTATTTTCCACAAACATCCTCCATACCGGCTGCACTTTATCCAGGCTTGCTCCGTTCTCTTTTAAGGAATTCTATTCTACCATTTACATATGGTAAAGACAGCAACAAATCAGTGTGGGGGGGTGAATTTGACTATTAACAATGTAAACTTTCTGGAAGGGGAAAATACTTCAAAGTTAACAGATAAATACAAACGGGAAAAGAATTGTAGCACATCAGCAAAGACCTGATTGCCTAATATATGGAGGGCTCCTGTCAATCAAGAAGAAAAAGATCATTAATCCAATAAGACAAAGAATATGAACCAGCAGATTACAAGGGGAGAACCCGCTAGCAGGTGACTTTCAAAACCAAGAAAAGATATTCACCTGCACTCACAATAAGAAATGCTAACAAGATTACTTTTCGTATATTATTCATCACATGGTCCAAGTCCAAAGAGTGGTGATTCACCGAGTTGGAGTAGGGGTGGAGAAGCACATACAAGGCAGGTGGGAATATACATCTTTTTAGAGAGCAATTTTATATAATATTTTTATAATACATTTTATATTATAGCAATATATCTAGCAATTTTATAATATATTTACATTATTTCATAATATAAAAGTGCATATATTCTTTGACAGAATTCTACTTCAGAGAACTTTTCCTACAGGAGTCACATTATGAAGACTGTCCTCTGGAGAATACAGGCAAACTTCTCATTAATCAGGGAGCCTCCCAGCTGGCTCCAGTGCCCAGCCTTCTCATACAGACCAGGAGGGCGGACCTACTCCTGCTCCTCGATTTCCCCCAGACAGTCATGCCAGCTGGTTAGTAGCACAGGAAGAACATCAGCAGAAATCATCTTGAACACCCAAACTGAGTGGACCAGCAGTTTGGGGAAGTCCCAAGACTGCCGGAACCCAAGAGCACTCAAACTCCTGTGTACATTTTTACAAATACTTCAGCTTCCATATTCCTTTCTTCTGTTCTCCACTTTCCCTCCTAGTGCCTTTGAGATAGTCTGCGTGACCCCAAGGTGATCCTCCAGGGCTGCCCAGCTCTGCCCCCTAGGTTCTCTCGTGTCGCTCCTGAGATAATTATGTCATTTCCATCCAGGGAGCACTGGGTGTGCTGTCCTTCCTTGGGATGACCTGGATGAGTTGCTCTTCCTTGTAAGTATACACAAACTACCTTACACTTCTCTGAACAATATTATGCTAAGGACCAGATATTTACCTTTCTTTATATCTTGCAAACTTGGTGATAAACTGACCTATGGGGTTTTCCCCCACTCTTTTTGTGTACTTGGGCCTCCTTTTTAGTACAAATCTGTTTTCTACAGATTTTTAAATCCACCTATTTTAAAAATAATATTTGACCTTGACCATATTATATATTTTATGTGCAATTTTATTCCTCCTCATTTTACTTCTCAATGCATCGCAGCATTGTTTGTTACACCAAAGGGTTGGAAGCTTCATAAATTCTGTCAGTGGGTGGCTGGTTAAATATGGGGTGGTTCTTCCCTGTTATGCAGTCATTGAATCAATGTGACCACAGTATATAGTTTGGGTTTTTAAATAAAGTAAGGTGCAGAGCCATGTACATAAAACAAGGGGGTTGGATGGGGAGTATATGGACATACATATATTTGTACCTGTTCTCTACAGAAAGTTGAAAGAAACCAGTTGTAGTGATTGTTCCTCAGGAGAGACTGAGTCAGGGGGCTGGGAAACCTCATTTTTTACTGCTTAAAATGTTTACCATCTGCACATATTAATATTCCCAAAACCAAATTAAAAATAAAGTTATATGTATTTTCTGAAGGAAAAATACGAGTCTTCTTCCTTCAAGGCCATCCTAAGCCTCCGTCTTTGAAGGTCATAAAGTAGTTCAAGTTACAGGTTGTTCTCCTCGCTCTTCTGGGAGATAAATGCCTGGAACACTCACTTTGCTGTTGCCTGTGACTGGCCTTGAACTCTGAGGTCCCTTCCAATACATGAGAGAGGACTGTTGTCTTCAGACCGGCCAGCATTGTACCTTCTGTTCTCCTTGCTCACATGCCACATGCTGGCCGAATTGATGTCCACCTTCCCCTGTAGACAGTAAGCTCCACAGAGGAAGAGACTGTATCTCTGTTCCTTTCTATAGCACCACATTCAGCACAGTGATCAGGACTGCTGAATGAATCCTTGGTTGGATGATTTTATTGAAGCAGAATCATGAGGCAAAGTCACCTGTCTCCTTGCATCAGAGGAGGTCCCAACAGAGTACACATGTGCCCATTAAGATGGACATGATACCGCCCTTGTCCATCTATTTAATCTGTCTTCCCAGAAGGCTCAAAATCCCTTGGGCAGGAAAGGAGCTCTGATTCATCATTTTTTCTCTAGCTTCTGACACAGGCCTGGCATATAGTAGGCACTTAGCAAATTTTGCAGAAAGAAGGAAGGAGAAAAATGTTAGTTCATGGAGTCTGTCCTAATATTTTATTTTAATAACTTACATTAGCCAGCAAGATGACAACTTATTCTAACCTTAAAGTAGATTGGTCACCAATGAATCGTGGTAATACTTAAAATATTACAGCCTTATTCCTACATGAAACAGACAATGAGAAGCTTCAGAAGAAGAAAATGGTTAAAGAACTAAAATTATGTAATTCAATTTGCTTTTACCTGGTGTCCTTCATTGTGTGCCAGAAGAGATTTCAAAGACAGACTCAATTGCTTTAAAAGATCCTGAGATTGAGAAAGTGTATACAGATGGGGAAAGCCATTGCTTCTGAGGGAGGGTGTCAAGGTAAGGAGAACACTTCAGGAATGGGCATGGTGCACAGAATCACAGAAGGAAGGTGCCCACCTTGACTCCCCCAGAGTGTCCAAAGTTGGCATCTGTGGTGGGTTGACAAATGGGCAGCTTGTAATATCCAGCTGAACTGAATCAGTGTAGTCCTTGCGTGGAAGATCCACCTGAGGATTGTTACCAATAGCCATAAAAAGAGAACTGGAGGGGAAGATCTTGGCCTGTTGATTTTCTAGGAGAAGCTTGTGCCAATGGTTTTCCTGACGTGAACTAGGATGCTCTCTTTGGAGGAGGAGCTCTGGGCCTTGCTGACCCTGGGAATGGCTTCTCTTTTTGTCAGAGGAGCTCTGATCTTCACCATGAGCATTACTTTCTGGCTGTACTGTGGATCCCTCAGCTTGATGGCACAAATCCTTCATCTCACTGGCGTAGGTTTTCTGGCTTCCGTCACTGGGCCTTTGGGCCTTCTGCATGCAGATCCTCAATACGGACAGGAATGGGGCATTGCTGTGGGCTCTAGGCCACTGGCTGGACTTGTGGAGAATATTGCTTTGGTCTCTAGCCCTTTAGCTAGACTTGTGTGGGAAATTGCTGGGATCCAGGCCCTCAGCTGAATTCTTTGGGCCTCTAGTTTGTGGTTAATCTCTTGCACTCCTTTGCATTTGACTGTTTTTGGTAATTATCATAAAATAATTCTATAAATTATGTGTTCTGTATTTGATATATTCTCTTGCTGAATCCTGCTGACTACAACAGCATCCATATAACATCCCTTTGTGGTGAACTAGATACAGTTTCTATATCAATGTTCAATTTATAATTGATAACTACACTATGAGATAGCTAAGAGAATAGAGTATACTAGTTCTTTGAAAGTATGTACTGAATTATTTTGGGGTGATGCATCAGATTGTTCAGAAAAATTTAAAAAATATGTGGAAGAAAACATATGCAAATGATAAGCAAATGGAACAAAATGTTAATAATACATGACTGTTGGTTAAGAGAATACAAATGTTTCTTGCTATATTCTTGTAGCTTTTCTATATAAGATTGAATCATTCCCCAACAAGTTCTCTAAAAAGGGAAAATAATAGTTCTTTAAATTAAGAGCATTGAGGGACAATATTGACATGCTTAGAGGCTCCTCTGCCCCTGCGCTGACTTCATACAATTGTTCCTCTGGCCTCCTGCAGGCCAGCCCTCTCTTCTGGCAGTTCCTGCTTGCTTCTTCCTGAAGGGACAGTTTCTCCCCACTACCCGCTGAACCTGCTCTGGTGTGTCCCTCTTCTCCTGACACTGTAACTACATAATATTGGCTCTAACTGCCACTGTCTACACCTGTTTGTTTTATTTTGAAGACAGGGTATCTAAATCACCAAATTACCTAGGCTGGGTTTGAGCTTGCAATTCTCCTGCCTCAGCCTCCAGAGTGCTGGGATTACAGGTGTGTGCCATCATGCTAAGATATTTACTGATTTTTTTCATTGAGAAACAAATCACAATAATAAAATTTACCCTCTTAAAGTACACAAGGTTGTGTAACCATCATTACATTCTTTACCCCACCTTGTATCTATTAGCAGCTGCTACTCATTACCTCTGTCCCCTACTCCCTGGAAAACACTATCTCTATGAATTTGCCTATTCTATGTATTTCAGATAAGTCATAGAATAGGTGGCCTTTTGTATGTAGCTTCTCTCACTTAGTGTGTTTTCCAAGCTCATCCATGTTGTCATACGAGTCAGTATTTCATTTCCTTTCATAGTTGCATGGTACTCCATATTCTATTGCATGGATGTCAATCATGTTTTGCTTTAATGTAGCTTGTGTGGTATTTTGTTTGTTTGTTTGTTTTTTGTTTTGTTTTGTTTTTTTTTTTTTTTTTTTTTGGTACTGGGGATTGAACTTGGGTCCTTGCACTTGGAAGGCAGGCAGCAGAAGCACTGAGCTAAATCCCCAGCAGCTTGGGTATTTCTGAAAAGGACTTTCAACCCTCTTACAAACAAATCTGGATAGGAATTTGGAATGTATATGACCCACAGGAAGGAAAAGGGAGTTCTCCAGGTCCTTCAAAGAAGTGTCAACCTCAAGGCAAATGAGGAGCCAATGCTTCTGGTGTGGGCTGGCTTAGAACTCGGCACTTCAGGGTCCTGCAAGGCCCCTGTGGCAACCCATGCACATCTCTTCTCCAAGCTAGTCAGAGGGGAGCTTTGCAGAGGGTTCCTGAGGATGATTGAGGATTTGAGAAGTGGAGCTCTGGAGAGCAAAGACACAGAGTAAGAAGCACTAGACACATACACCTATGTACACACATACACACACACACACATATATGTGCGCACACACACAGCTGTGTACATGCTCAGGCATGCCACCTGAGTCAGACTAATCAGGAAAACAGACCTGCCCACTCCCAGGTATCCCCTCCCAGCTGAAGGGGTCTAGTGATGGGAAATAGATGGTTCCAAAGGCATCTGCTTTGCACTGTGGTTCATGGAAATGGACCTTTGTCCAGCCTCCAGCTGGGCAAACCATGTTGGAAATGTCCCATCTCACCAGTTGTGTGTGTGTGTGTGTGTGCGTGTGTGTGTGTGCGCGCGCAGTTAACCCTGGTTTTCTGCCAAAGACAAAAAGTAAACAAGCCATGGAAAAGAGGATTCTTTCTCTCTGCAAGACCGTTGCTCTTGAAAAGAGGCAGGAGAAAGGGAAGGGAAGTGGAAAAGCTAAAGAAGGGTAGGGGTGGACAGGAAGAGTCCTCTGAGGGTCAGGGAAAGCCAGAAGAACACGACGGATTTCAGGAAGAGCAAGTTCTATATCAACAAAGAACAAGTCAAAGAAGGCATGACTGGTTTTCAAGAGCCTACGCCCCAAATTGAAAGACAAGGGAAAATGAATCATGTTGAACTGATTAGGTTGGAATGGCAGAGTGATGCAAAATTCAGAGACAAATTTTCCTATCAGTTCTGGATTGGCTTTCCTATCAGTCTGATGGATTGGCTTTTCAGCCATTGTTCCTAAGAGGCTTGTCGATCCATCATCATCTGCTCAGGAAATGGTTTCTACAAGTAGATATTCCAAGGTCTGGAAGCTTATGCTGTCTTATGATAGGGCTGTTCTGATGCAAGAACTCCTGAAAAGCTTTGCAACCCCTCCCTTTCTCTTGAGCAAGGAACCGTAAATGCAGTTCCACTTGATGACTGCAGTTATCAATACTGCAGGAAAACTTGATTGAGAAATGTGTCCTGTTGTCTTAACTTTAGACTCCCAACCACAATAACAGTTTTTCTCCCACCCCAGGAGAGAAGCCTGAGTTTGTGTCCTTTGCTGTGGCAGAGGTGAGACTTTGAAAGAGCTGCTGACCACACAGGGTGGCAGCATGCCCCCGGGAGGAGTGAGCTCTCAGGGAAAGGGAAGGGCAGGGCAAAGGCTTCCGTTTGGTTGTGGTCTCTCAAGGGGCTGGCTCTTTGCTGGGGGTAAGGCACACAAAGCTGGGGACAGAATACTCAGTTCTTATCTTCTTTAGCTTGGGAGCCAGACAGACATTCTGTTGGCTGATTTGGGACAGAGAGAAAGGTGGCTATGAATATCAATCTCCCACGTTTGTGTATATTGCATGGGCTCAGGCAGTATGGTTAATGGCAGCTATGACCCATGATAAACCAAAAGCCCTTTCAAGTCTCCTGGACAGTGTAATCTCTAGAGTTCTGTATGATGCTAGGATTGGAGGCAGGTCATTATATATGCCTGAAATTGGATTTCTTTGTATTCCTGTTTGGAAGGGACTGACCAGGCATAATTTGATTTGGAAAACCAATGATAGGCATACAGGAGTGTGAATGTGAACACTATGATACCACTCAGTGATGGAGAGGTAGAGAAGCTATCCCTCCCTATTTTCTTACTTCTAATCAGCCTCTCCCTTGTTTACAAATAGTGCCTCTAGTCAAGACTTGCTATTTCTGCAAACCTAAGCACTTAGTCTTTGAGGCAATTTCTTGCTCCCTGCTTGCTTCTAGGGCCCTATATATATCCAAATATAGTAGTCCCCTCATCTATGGAGGATATGTGCCATGATCCCTAGTGGATACATGAACCTCAGATAGTATAGAAACCTATATATACAACGTATGTAATGAAGTGGTTAATGGTTGTAAGTGGTTAGTAGCTGGGTAACCTATACAGCATAAGTATGCTGGGCAAAGAAATGACTCATATCCTGGGCAGGATGCAGTGGACAGTGTGAGATTTCATCATACTACTCTGAATGTCATATAATTTAAAACTTGCTACTTGGTTATTTCTGGAATTTTCCATTTACTGCTTTTGGATCTCAATTGACTATAGGTAACTGAAACCATGGAAAGTGGACCCCTAGATAAGGGAGAGGTACAGTAGTTCATGTGACTAGAAGTCTGACCTCCTGATACACACAGCTTTCCTAGATTCCAACCTGCGAGTTGATGCAATGTTAGGGCAGCAGCCACCAACTTATTGGTAACGCCAAGTTCTAGAACTAGATAAACTCTGACATCATTTAGTCTACTAATTTTTTGTTTGTTTGAATTTGAATGATGGTTTTTTAAAAAAAAATTCAGCCAGCTGGGATCACCTACACTTGAGATATTTCATATAAAATTATCTGACATCTCAATATCTCTTGAAAGGAGAAAAAAAAACACAACCTGACAGCTTGAGGCCTCCTTCTGCTGTGGCTGTGCATGATGGGAATGAGCAGGCTGTCCCTTTACATGAAGCGACCCTGCCCATCTGGTCACAGTCACCATCCCTGTCTATGCCCCTCCACTTTACCTTCTTTGCTCTGCCTGCCCAGCCATGAAGTAAATCCTGGAGAGGTTGAAATCCTTTAATGTCTCTCTAACCTGCCTCTTCCTACTCTGCTTTCAATAATTGTCCACTAAGACCATTCTAGTGCCACTTACCTGATCTTTTTCCAGGTTGTTTCTATCATTTTTTTAAAATTGAGAAGCCAAATAGCCAGCCCCTGTGCAAAGGGGATACAAACCTACCAACCCAAGTACCGACCTTAACTCTCCTGCTGTCCAGACCCTTTGTGTATTCATCAAACTCCACCCCAACAGTGAAATCCAAGTCATAGTTGCGGAATGTGCTTTGGGTTTTTGTCTTGAAATTATCTTCGTCTTGATTAATGATTTTTGTCTGCTTCAGATATATTGCGATCTTGCGGGTGGCAAAATCAATATCTGTTGGCAAAAGCAAGTTGCGGAGGTTATGATGTGCTCAGTGAGATCCATTCATTTCATTAACAAGGCCAAACACTCCAGACCAGAGACATAGATCACGGAACACATTTCTTTGCTTAAGCAAGAAACAAGAACATTGGGCAACTCAGCCAATCACCAGGAAACGGAGGAGTCTCCTGGCATCTCCTGGAGCCCTGCTGGGAGGGAGTTGTATTAGGTGAGGCTCAGCCCTGAGCTGCAGCTCTCAACTCTCCCTCTCCCTCTCCTTCTCCCTCTCCCTCTCCTGTCTCTCACCCTTGTCCCTCCCCTCCCTCCCCATCACAGCAGCTCTGTTTTCTCCAACATTCCAGCTTCCTCCTAAGAGTTCACTGTTAAGATTTCGTGATTAAAAAAAAAAAAGCAAACTTTGGAAATCACAGTCTTAATCAAGAGTAAAGATGAAACCTTACATAGCAGAGAGGAAAAGTGACAAATTTCCATTTTTTACCCTAGTCTGGGGGATGGAACCCAATACTCACTTTACTCAAGAGTTTAAACTTCATTCCTTTTTATTTTGAGACAGTTTTGCTAAATTGCGTAGGCATGAGTCAACTTGTGATCTTCCTGCTTCAGCCTCTCTGTTTGCTGGGGTTACATGTGGACAACACAACTTCTGTTTTTAAAGCAGATTGTAGGCTTCCTAAATTAGGTGATTCTGCCTCAGTTACAAGACCCCAGAATAGTTTTAAGCATATTTTAGACAATAACTGCTTGCTCAGAGATTTTTCTTTTGTTTTACTCTTACGCTGTAATAGAATCAATCTCAGTGTTTTTTGACTACCCTTAAGTGAGTTTTCTAAAAAGTAAAATATAAAACATTTGGATTGACATTCAAAGATTACTTTTCTAAATAAAAATTTTAGGAAAAATCAAAGGAGAGAGAAGCATACAAGGAACCTCCATGTGCTCATCATCCAGATTCAGCAATGATCAAGAGTTTGCTATTAGGGCCAGGGATTTAGCTCAGCGGTTCGGTGGCCTGCCTTGCAAGCGCAAGGACCCAAGTTCGATCCCCGGTACCAAAAAAAGAGTTTGCTATCTTTTCTTTGCCTTCACATTTTAAAGAAAATCTTAATTCACTTCTTAGCAATCATTAGTAAGTAACAGGGAGTGTGCCCTTCTGGGGGAACGTTCAATTTCTAAAGCCTTGCACATCACAGTAAGAAGCTCAGCGTTAAATCCACCTACTTGCTAACCTCTGGTTGTTCATACAATGACAACCAAGCCAAAGGGTTACTGCCCTGTGGAATGGATCTAGAAATAGAGTTAATTGCAGAGCTTCTATGTTTCCATCCATGCCATGAATATCATCAGGCTCTTAATCTTTAGGCAGATCATATTTGAGTCCACTTATGCCTATGAATTTTGCTGATGCCTTTGGATGTCAATTTAAATCTTTCTTTTTTTTTTTTTTTTACAATACCTACCTCAAGTGTTTGCAAAAAACATGGAGATTGATTCTATTATAGCCTAAAGGTAATAATACCCTCAATGGTAAGAGCAGTTCAGATTTATTGAATGCTGTTTCTCTAAAAATTCCAGCCCTCTGTGAGGTGAGTGATTGATAGGTAAATTTTGTATTGTACATTGTCTGGCATGGGAAAATATGTATGTGTCTATAAGAGAGGCCAGCAGATAACAACAGTTGGGGTGCTCCTCTGAATTTGGAGAATTAACACCTTGCTGCTCTTCCCACAGTAAAGCATTAGTTCCCACATCTTCTCTCCTTATTTTTTTTTTCTCATCCTTTTCCTTTTGAATCCTCTGTCACTACTAATTCCCTTTTTTTCAAAAGACCAAGGAGAGACCAAGGTGGCTGCTTAGACCTCACTTTGGGCTAGTAGACTGACCACAGCTATCAACTCACAACAGAATTACATGTGCACATCTGGTTGGTTTTTTGAGCCTTAATCATATGAAGTCAGATTTGAGTGTAGGGAAATAATTTCAAGTAACATTAGCTAGCTCAGGAGGTAAAAGATTACATACTTATATTTTATGGTTTTTTGTCTGTTTGTTATTTTTGTTTGTTTTTTTTTTGTACCAGGTATTGCACTTGGGCCCTTGCACTTGCAAGGCAGGCAGCACAACCACTGAGCCAAATTCCTGGCCCCTACATACCTATATTTTAAACTGAAAAAAGAAATGGGCTCAAGTTGGCACGATCTGGGGCACAAATACTTTGCTTGCCTGTCATCCCCTACTATTTGTGAAATGTTTGTTATGCCTAAGAATTCACCAATTGGTCTCAAAGTTTGCTACCCATAAGCGTCACCTGGGAAGATGCGAAAATTGAAGATTTATGAGTCCTACTGTAGGCCCAGAATTTCTGGTTGGCAAAGTATGGTGATGTTAGATCTTGGACTTCCTCATAGGTTATTTGGAAAGATCTTTGTGGTTTAAAAAATTTGAAAGCCACCATTTAAGTACCTGTACATTTGGTCAGAGGTATGGAAGTAGATGTCTAGAGACACTAGGACTTATGTGAACATATGCAACTAAAATAGCAGTTAGGGGTTTGGTGATTGAATGGGCATATAGAAGGGGTCAGGTTAGGAGAAGAAAATAGTAGTTTTGAGTTTGGGTGACTTAAGTTGAGATACAGGGAAATTAAAGGGAGAAGTAATTTCATGGGGCACACAGTAACTAAATTTTTATAGAGTGAATGTGGAGGCCATACCATATGGAACCTTGGGAATATTTGTGGTGGTGGTGACTAAGACACTCTTTGGAAACTACCAGGAGAAGTGCCCATGATAGAAGGTCTCTTGGGGAGTGGAGCTTTGCTTACCTTATTCTCCAAACAAACACATGAGATAAATATTATCTCCCCTTTATCAACGAGGAAACTGGTCCAGAGAAGCTGTATCACTTGCCCATTTGACAGTGATGAAGCTGTACAGTTAGTACTTGAACTCAGGACGATCTGCCCCTAGGGCCATGCTGAGCTCCACAAGTGCTGGGAGAGCCCAGTTAGATGCCCTCTGCTTTGTACAGTGTATGGCTGTTCACCATACAGTAACTTCTGACTTGTTAAATTTCCCCTGTAGACACAGGACTTTCGGATCCAGCTGGTGAAGTCTTCTCTACAAGAGGCAACTTTTGGTTTTCAGGACTCTTGCATATTGCCCCCTTCAAAAAGCAGCTGTTGCTAGGCCCAGGGCCCTCAATTCTAAGTCAGTGCTAGAGCAATCACACTCTATCCTTTGAACATTCTCTGACAACTCATTTAGCTTCAGCTCATTGGCTCGTGGAAAGCTCATGAGCACAGTGGAGCCATAGTCTGAGGGCCACAGGACATGAAGAGATGGAAATGCTTCTCCACTACCCACTGTGCAGTGAGTATCTGCAGGATTCTCAGCCATCGTGCACAGAGGCCAGGGTTCCCCTCTCTGCCATGGGGCTCAGTTCCAACAGAAAAGTTAAATGGTCAAATAAATGGTCTCAAGATTAGCTAAGTTTGGAAAATGAAGAATTAAAACCAAGAGAAGCTGGTTTCTGCACTGAAGATCATCATGGGGCTGTTTATATAGGAAAGACGCTGTATAACTCTAAGAGAGGGATTCAGGACACAGACTTCAACAGTCTCGTGTGGCATTGAGCACCTCTGGATTCTCTAAAACATGACATGGAAAGGATTGAAACAAGCCTTTCTGGGGTATTTATTTCAACCACATTGGCAAAGAAATCATGGACATGCCTCCTGTTTAATTTTTCTCCCTTCAAGGTAACTGCTGGCTTGTTTAGACAGGACCAAGTGGTCAAATATTTCTGATTTTAAAAGGAATCCTTTCTAAAAACTGCTGAAAGATACTAAAGAATATCTTCCATGTTCTAGTTTTTGCAAATGCATGCTTGTGGGAAAGGAACTAGCAAGAGGCTAACAGGTCACCTTCCAACTCATATTTCTCTCCTTCTTCCTCAGAGACACAGTTAGCAAGTCCGACAACACTTCTGTGTCTAATTCTATTCTCATGACTGGACACATAGGTTCAGATCTGGAAGCCATGGATAGCAGGGGTCATAGTGGAGCTCTTACCAACTGGATCAGATTATTGTAGTATTGAAGTTGGTGGTGTTTGTGAAGAGTGGCTGGCAGCTTGTCTCTATGGCTCTACAGATGGTAGCTGCCATCATGCTAATCACTGTCAGTAAGTCTGATCTCTCAGGCCAGTTTCCTCAGAGTTCCCTGTGTTTTTCAGGTGTTTCCTGAATCCTTGGTGCTTTCCTGCCAGTTTTCTGTGTCTCACGAGGCCCACCCTTGGCCTTGCCATCTGGAGTCTGTCTTGCCCTCCTGCCCTCTTCCTTACCTACCATTCAGACTGCACAGTAGATACCGCCTGGTGATTTCCTTGACTTTTTCATGTGGTTGATTATTCTTTCCTCCCTAATCTCACCTCTATGAAAACAAAGAAAGTAGTATTCCTTTTGTACACAGTAGGTGCTCAATAAATATCATGAATTGGCTAAAGGATGCAGCATGGTCCAGTACAGTGGTTTGCAAGTGAGCTCCCTGGCCCAGCAGTAGGAGGGGCAGCTTGCAACACGTTAGTAGTACAAATTCTGGGACCCACTCTGGAGCCACTGAGTCTGCATGCCAGGCCCTGCTTCTGCTTCTCCTCTCCTCCCCTCTCCTCTCCCCTCCCCTCCCCTCTCTTCTTTCTTTTTTGATTCTTTGGTACTAGGAATCAAACTCAGGACCTTGTACTTGTCAGGCAAGTGTGGTGCCACTAAGCTAAATCCCTGGGCCCCCAGCTTGTTCTTTTAAGCCTTCCAAATCATTCTGTTTGCCAAAAAATCGAACTCCTGATATGAAAGAGTGAAGGGCGAAGGGCAGACCTACTCTTAATTCCCAGCTATGTGATCTTACAGAAGCTACTTTCCCTTTTTGTGTCCCAATTTTGTCATGGTAAAACAAGGAAAAGAATGATCACTTTACAGGGTTACTATTGTGAGGACTG